CACCACTCTAGTACTATTCTGTTAAAACTGCTCCCTTGTCTTCCCAGACAAAAGAATTTCAGTCTAATACTCTGTGTAGAGTATTAGAAGAATCTCCAAAGAATCTAAGCTGTAGTTGTATTCACAAATGATGTCCAATGCGTGGGGTTAAATAGACACCAATTCAAGGACATCGTGCTGTCCTAAATTTTCTGTTTACCTTGGAGGTATGTTTTTGATATATCTAATTCTTTGTTTCATTTCCAAGACATATTTTAAAGAAAACGCTATAAGAGACATTTTGAAATAAACTAATTGTAATGTTACATGTAACCAAACTTGCTTGCCTTTGTTATTCCAGAGAACCACTATGTAATGACTCAAGGGGGAAAAAAATCATTCACCTTGCTTCCAACTGAGCCTTCTTGAATAACGGTCTTTCCCTCTTTGGGCAAAAATTTCCCACCTGTAAAGTAAGAATTCGACCATACGATCTTGGGAGGTTCATTCAAGTCCTGATACTCTACAGTCATTTTAGGTCTGCAGTCCAGCCCACAGCCACATGTGAGCATCTCATGCTTGTTGCTCTAGAACTCTTCACTGATGTAACACAGTTTTAAATTCATAGAAGTTAAACTCCACTAAAATAGTTTAATTACATAATAGTTCTGTGCAATTTCATGAATGTATATTTACACATCTCATGAAAACTTTGCTAAACTCTTTACCACTAGATCTACTGCAGGCAGAAGCACTGTCTCTACCTGCCTGAAATTTCTCTCATTTACTGAGAACTCTTGGGCACAACAAGTGGTACCACATACTAAGTATATTTGATTTTTAACCTGTCATTCCACTTTCCACTTTACTTACTCTATAATACTATTAGAAGCACTTATTTTTCAAGCAAATTATTCCTTTTCAATATTCCTATACTTTCCTATTACTGATATTCTCGCACGGTGAATCCAATGTCTTTCCCATAATCTATGTGAATTCAAATGCTGCCTGCTCTATAGTCTTCCCTGGTCCCTGAAAGATAAAAACCACAATGTTGATATTTCTGATTTTTATATCTCAAACACTTTAACACATGAGGTAATATAAGTAGCACATTGAGGCCCTAACTCGTGTCACTCTGGATTATTTGTGAGCTTATCTCTTCTACACAATTAAGAATTGCTCTAGAGCAAGGTCATATTGACACCCACCTTCATATTCCTAATTACTAATTAACAGTGGGATCTCAATACATGTTCGGTGAATGAAAGGAACATAAAGATGTGGAATTAGGATATACTGCCCAAATACACATATGGATAAATAAGTGAACACAACTAAAGTTGGAGAATCGGAAAGTGGGAAATATTTCTTTAGAAGAAGGAGGAAAAAACTTCAGAAAAGGCTGCTTTCAGGAGTTCATACATTTTCAGAGTCATTATGTGGGAGTTCTCTGAGACCTTTCATTGTAGAAACATCCACAGGTACGTCATTTTCCCCAGATCTCTGAGTCAAAGTAGCCTTCAAAACGTAATTCTAAGACAGATCTGGGAAAACACACAACACAGACTTGACTAATGAGAAATCCTAGACCGACTGGCCTACTTTAGGGGGTCAGCAGATTCACTGGGTTTGAGTTTGAAATTTGCCTTGGTTCAAAAATAGAGACATCAAAGTTGGATGTTAATAGTCTACATTTGTAGGACTTTTCAAGTACATTTTAAATACAACACAAAACAGCCTACTGTACACATCATCTTCTCTTGGCACATATTTTTAATATTTTAAGAGTGTGATTATTATTCTCATGACATATAATTACGTTAACCAATAAATACTAACACGTCTAATTCGGCTGTACCACAGTGAAATAGTCCTGTAGGATGAGCTCTATCTCCTAATTAACTGTAGCCTTCCTAAATTAGAATAATTGACAAGAATAGAACAGATCATCTTTTAATTTTTGAGTGGAACACGCACACTGAAAGTACATTTTATACTAATTATGAACTTATTCTATTTAAGGGTTCTCATAATCATCTCTAAATCTCCTAAACATTTTCTTTCTTATAGGAAATAAAAGTTGATATTCAAGGGACACTATTATTCACATGACTGATTTCATACCTTTTGTCAATGATAAAAGTTTTTTAAAAAAATAGAACCTGACACTCTCAATCTGGTTTCAGAAATTGAAGTCAAGCACAGGCTTAGATTCAAGGGTCAGTTGTGCTCACATAGTAGTTATATGCTCAAAGACAAGTCACTTATCTGCTGAGTCTTAGTTTCCCATCCATAAGAAAAGAAGTAAGTGCACATCTGTATCTCAGAGATAAGAAACATATACCTTGCTTAAGTGAGAATATATATGAAAGTGCTTCACCATCAGTAAACTGCTGTCCGAATGCCAGTGATTATGAGCTCGTGTGCACAGTAAGATTGCTCAAGCAACAATAGAACTACTGAATAAACCCATCGAAATGTCATGGTTGATGGGAGGCATATGTAGACACAGCCTTAAAGAATGAAGGCTATATTAAGTAAAAACCTCACAGCATAAACTTCTCCACACATATTAGGTAATAATTAGAAGAAAGAAAATAAGATTAGACACAAACCTTGCTTAAAAACATAAAACAGAAGTGCACAGAAGCATCTGAGCATAATATTGCTGAGTCTAGCAGCAGTTAGTGGCCTTGGTATCCTGAGGTATTTGCATGTGTAGAATTGGAAAAGTGCTGAACATTAAATAAGGAAGTAATCATGGCTCACTGGATAATGTTTCTCAGACCTAAATGCATTCCCTTCCCTCATTCCAGAGTCGCCTTTGGTTCCTATGTCCCCTGTTCAGAATCAATTTTAGCTCCCCCTACTTGCAAACTCCCATTACCTGCAGAAAGCAGGCTGAAATCTTCAACTGGCATAAAACTTATCTGCAAGCTATCAATAGTAAACCATCCAGTCTTATAGTTCACGTCCGGCCTTCATCCATTCCCAGATGGATGTTAGGTTTCTAAATGCAGCCTGGACTATCCTGTGCTGAGTCTCAAGTTGTTCTCCCTTCTCTAACAATAAAATCCCATCCAAACTCTGGCCAAGCATGCGAGCCTTCTGATCAGAACTTTAAGATTCTATCAACTTCACAAGAGTATTTCACGCTCTTCTTTGTACTTTGGTAGCATCAGTCATAGACATAATGACTTATATGGTATTAGTCTAATATAATATTAGACTATTAAAAGATGATGGCTGAATAAAGAATGAGAAATTAGAGTCATTTATAGCTAAATGGATGCATATCGAGGCCATATTCTTAAGTGAAATAAATAGAACACACATGTGTAAATACCGAATAGTTTCTCTAGTGTGAGAAACTGAAAGTGTAAATAAGGATTAAAATGAATAACTGATAATTTGAAATAGGAAAAGGTCCAAAGGTGTAGGGGTGGTGGGAGGGGAAGGAGAAAGGGAAGAAGGGAAAGGAAAAATGATGAGAAATGGAAATAAAATGGAAATGAAATCTATGTAAATAGGGAAGGGCGGAGCGGGTGAAGGGCACACAGGTAATGGGGAAAAAAATAAGAACCAAGTACATCATGTACAGGTACAAGCACCCAATGATAAATGTAAACGTGTTGTATACCTAAAATGTACCAATAAAAGAATTTTTTAAAAAATAATAAAAAAAAGAAAGATGATGGCTGAGTCTTCTGGGTCTCCCTTTTGACCTTCTACCTTCCTGTTCCTATCCAATCCCCCACAGCGCATGCTATATGCCAGCAGCTGAGTTCAGGTTTACAGGAGTGAAGCACATTTTACCACTAACAGTCCTGAGAGAGCCAAGGGCAGAGATAGGTAAGGAAGAGCTCATGTCTAGTATGTTTTGCCTTGTATCCCGACACAGCTGCCAATCCCATGTTACGTGTAGAAAAGGTAACAAGAAAGCACTGCAACCTTATGTGCAGTTCAGTGTTGAAATGACAGGCAGCAGTGAAGCAGGACTGTTTTTTAATTCGTGAAAGGAACCATTATTAATACAGCAGCTGCCACTGAAGAATTGGAGTAAAGGCCAGAGTTGTGTGTGCACCGTCACTCAGTCAAGCAACTGTCACACGAGAGTCAAACAACACGGTGACAAAGGTACCTGTCCGACTGTTTGGAATCCAAAGTTCTGATGGCTGTCGGCTGAGGACACACAGCCCTGAAATAGATTTTCTATGGCCCTCTTAAGACCTCAGAGCAGCAAAGAATGATCACCAATAGTGGAACATCAACTTCCAAAATGCAGGTAATAAACGAAGATGTAGAAAAATAACCAAGCTCCAAAGTAAGCAAAAAATGGTGAAGAAAAGCTGTGAACAAGGCACCATTTGCACTTAAAAACACAGAATAATTCCTGTCACATAATTCTGATGAATTTGAGGAGAAACTGATATCCTCAAACTGCTGATGCCAGTATAAACTATCCAAACCTTCAGAAAGAAAGTAAAGAAAGTAGTCATTCTCCTTAATGTCAGCATCCCACTGGTAAAAGTCTGAGGGTAGAAAATAGCTCCAAAGAAAATAAACATGAATGTGTCCCTTGTAGCATTACTCACAATAACAAAAAGTGGGAACCACCTCAGTATCCAACACAAGGAATATTCTTTCCAAGAGACCTTCACTTTAGAATCCTTCACCTTACCCTGAGTTATTATTTACCTTACCTTTAGTTACTTTAAGTCATATTTGTGGATATTCTAACAATACATGGGGAAATATCCAAACAGACATAGCTCAAAAAAGAGTAGAGCAATGGAATAAGAAGAGATTTAATTTGAGTAAGATTTTTATATGACATTATCTTTTAAAGGCAATTATTAATAAAGTCAATTTCAGAAGTTTCTGCCAGTTAACCAGCACATGGTGATACTACACAAAAAGAAAACTTAGACCACTGGCCCTAATAAGATCAAAGAAGGACGGAGAGTGTACAGCGTCCACAGCTGCTCACATGGAGAGGCACTTCAGACTGCACTCACCTGTGGAGCCCGAGGCTTGTAGGGAGAAGTAGACTCCAGGTCAGCTAAGATACTGGTCAAAGAGTTAATCTCAGCATCCAGGCTAGAGCGTCTCTCCTCAAGGGTCTTCCCTCCAGGATTTCCCTGCCAAAACAACACAGATGCGTTAAAAACAAATAAAATGCCACCGAAAGAATTACAAGTTCAAATTTCTTAAGTTACTCTTAAATTTCTTAAGTTACACTTAAGTTATATTTAAGGTACCTTTAAATTTCTTAAGTTACACTTTTCTTCTGCATGTCTTTTTTTATAAAAGCTTTTTATTGAATCTCCTTGGGTAGTCTGAGGTAGAATTATCCCTTTTTTGCCAAATGGGAAAACTGAAATATATGAGGTGCTCATTCTAAGGCCATGCAGTCAGACACTCTTTTGATGAAGATACAAATAAAGGAAAATAGATGTTTCCATCCCTGCACTCAAGGGCAAAATCAACTGGGGAGGTGTAGCAGGATCTCTGCATACAGAAGCCACTGCAAAAAGTGGTGATACCTTTTTGAGCAGCATTAGACAAGGAAGGATGATGCATAGTCCAGAAAGAAAAATCAGCAACTACTATCAGTATGTGTGAGAGGAAGAGAAGCAAAACCCAAGCAACTTACTCAACACGGAGCAGAAAGAACCACTCAGAGCTCAGGGCACAGAGACACAAAGAGAGCAAGCATAGTGAGCTGATGAAACTGGAGTCTGTGGATCTCATATGTCAATGCCCATGACAACCGTACTCAGAATCAACGATGGGAGACCAGAGGGTAATGATGCTACCACAGTGCGTTTCCAGGAATAGTGTGGGGTCTGGGGAAAACAAGCAAACATTTTCCTAAAGTTTGAGGAAAGGGGATAGAAAGTGAGGTGGCCCCAGCATTGGAAACAGGATGGAACAGAAATAATCCTTTAAGTTGACAATATAGTAATGATCATCCTGTAGGGTACAAAAGTCTCTTAAGACTCCATCAAGAAACCAAAGTATATTTTAAGCAAGCCAAAACTGGAGTGAAATAATGGGTATTTACTGTAATCTTAACTCTACTGGGTTTGACAGAGAAGGACAAATATCAGGAGAGTGTCTCGTATCTGCAAGAGCTTAGAAAAGGCACTAGCCAAGGAACTAGGATATATTTAGTAACAACAAAAATAGGCTGCCCTGATGGACTAACATTAAATCTTACAACACTTCAGGTAAACCTGCCCTTTTAGTGCATATGCGACACCAGACATCATCTTAAGACCACTAGCTTCTTTCTGCCTAAGGCCTTGCTCACTAAGACACTTTCTCTGAGTGCAATTTAAGTCTGCATAGTAAAGGCCCTTAATAGGACCCGGTGCATTGACCAATCTCTTTTGAGTTCACTCAATGTGAGTTCATCTCTCCTTGATCTGACTCATTCCAGACACACTGGTAGAATCGGGCATCTATGAAACTGTGGCCCAGCTCCTGAAGCCAAACCTAGATTTCTACTTTCCTCTTCAGCCATTTCAGATCCCTGTTTGTGAGCTGTCTTTCCACATGGGGACCTTTGATCACGTTATCTAAAGCATCCCACTCATGCTTTTCTCATTCTCGATATAGTGTAATTCTTCTATGTCACTGTCATTTCACCCAATTTTAATTTACTTTTCTAATAATATCTATCACTACCACCATCAAAAAACTAAATTTTATGTGCATTCGTCTGTTTCTGGACAGCTTCTCCCCTAGCATAATGTAAATTTAATGAGAGCCAAAGGCTGTTTTATTCTTTAGTGCTTCTCCAGAATCCTGCTAAGGGCCTAACCCATGTAAAGGTTCAATAATTATTTCTGAGTCAATAAATTAATTAACAACGATTTTGTCATAGGTTAAGCCAGTAACCACTTTCTCATCAATACCTTTTGGGTAAAAGTGAATGTAGGTACAAGAGGAAGCCACGGATGCTCCAGCATATGACAAAAAAGGCTCAGTCCATGTGCACGTGTGTGTACAGTGTGTGTGTGTGTGTATGTGTGTGAGGTTAGGTGGCTTAGATTCCAAGGATGAGCTTGTGAAATTGTGAGTTTTTCCTCACCTTATTTGCTCCAAAGTAGAAAAGTAATGGTACAATGAATGAGTTGTCTTATTTTGCAGACTCTGAAGTTTTCTGTTTTCCTAAACTTTTAAGGCCAGTGGGGGCTTTGTCTGAGAAATAGACTTCTTCAAGATGCTGATGTTTCTACCATAGGACATTGCATCTTTATCTCAAAGGGTACTAATAACTATGAAAGGTGCTGGGTGTAGTTCAGTAGCTGGCTGTAGCTCACAAGAGTAACTGCCTAGTATCTGTGAGGCACCAATCTCCAGTTGGAAAGAAAGAGAAGAAGGAAGGGAGGGAGGAAGATAGGAAGAGAGAGAGAGAGGGAGAGAGAGAGAACACAATTGGATGGAATGAATCCAAGTGGCAAAATATTTGCCCTGCATGTGAGATGAGGTGCTGGGTTTGATTCCCACTGCCTCCAAAAAGAAAGAAAGACAGAAAAGAAAGAAAGAAAGAAAGAAAGAAAGAAAGAAAGAAAGAAAGAAAGAAAGAAAGAAAGAAAGAAAGAAAGAAAGAAAGAAGAAAGGGAAAGACAAAAATCAAAAACATACAAACAAAAAACTATGAAATATGGCAGAATTATAAAAAGATCATTTTCACATATAAACTGCATACAAATATTCTGGATAGTGGGTCTTGCCACTGCAGGGACAGCATAAACATGGAATTTTATAAGAGTTCTTACACAAACTCATAGGCAGCACAAGAGTGAATTGGAATCGTGAAATTCTTCCCTGGGCCATAGTTTATTCATCTATAAAATGAAGAGAATTCCACTTGTCCTACCTAACCCAGAGAGATGCTACAAGATTTAGATAAGAAAATGGATGGGAAAATACTTTGTAAATTATACAGTGCTATAATTATGGTGATTTTCATAAATAGCATTAATTATGGCAACGAGTAACTATAAATTAATAGGAATAATACAGCTATTGTTAATTATTCTTCTTCTTAAGGGCAGCATCATTCATTAAGTGTTCCCTTGGGGTACCTTGGAAAAGACAGGATATAATCAGGTCTTCAACATCTGTGCTTTACTCCAGCAGAAAGTACATCAACTGCCTGTGTCCATGATATCTAACCACAGAGTCTTAAAAGTCACTAAATTACCCTGAGGTATACAATGAAACAAGTAATTATGGTGTGCGACCAGCCCAGGCTTGTAGGACTTCAACTGGCTTCTAGATCCTTATTCTCCCTTCTAAACTGGGATCGTTCCTCATTTTCAGTTTCTCAGATTAAGCTGATGCAATTTATTAACAAGTTTCAGACTAACGCTGTGGGATTTTGCATGAACAACCACCCCCATGCCGCTCTACTTTATGGTAATAGCTTTGTTCTACATTTTAATCCCCAGTGTGAATAAGAACGGGACTCTTTCTCACTCTCAATGATCTATTTTATGTCTTGGTTCAAATAACTGAAGTCCTGCACAAGTTCCCACACCAACTCTTCTCTTGGTGCTCTCCTCTACTCTCTTAGCATCTTTAGATTTATGGAGAATCTTGTCATACTTAGTACTTTATATTTAATGCTAGAAACCAGTCCTATTATGAGATAATAGAATTCTATGGATTTACTAATATTTCTTCTCCAATACTATATATATTCTGCCAGTCACCTGATGATTAATGCCCTGCCACAGGGCAAATAACAAGAGTTCCTTGCTAACTTTGCTTAATGTTATCTTCTAGATACAGTGGAGCCTCAAGTTCTGACCGCCCTGACTTAAAAACAACTTGTGTTAATTAGGTTAAAGGAAGATTCATCTGCCTCTTGTTATCTATAGCATGTACCCAGGCAAACATCCAGATCTCAGCTGTACTGACTTAATTATAATCAGACTTCTGAAACCAATTGAGTTCATAAGTCAAGGATCCACTGTATAACAGGAACTGTGACAAAACATTCATTGTTACAGTAACAATTTCCACACTCTGAATAGACACTTCCACTGTCCATGTCTGGATTCTCCCCTCTAAAAAGTGCATGCAAATAGGTCATCTATTATAGGGATGGATTCCAAGAATTAGTACAGAGGGGATAGGATAGGTAGATTGTGCAAAGAAGAGAAAGCCAATCCCAAAGTTTTACATGGAGATCTGCAACTAAGTCTCCTTCTGGGGAGTCCTATAAAATACTCCTCAGATCTTCCCAGCTGAGGGATGGAAAAGTGGATATTTATTATTATTACCATGATGAAGATGACGACGACAATGATAATTACTACTCCTATTTTCAGGATATGGCTCTCCATTGGTTTAGATTTATTACAGAGTTTTTCAACTCCGTCCTACCTGTCCCAGGAGGCAGAATGGTGGTACAGAAAAAAGTAAATGAGGACAGGTGCTACCAGATCATACATGTTCAGGGCTGGTTACTCTAGCAATGGCCAGTACCCAAGAATGGGATGAGGCGGTGACCACTGTGGGACAAGAGCTGCCTGATGGCTGTCTCTTTCATCAACAGCCACAACTTCCTCATGAATAAAGCACTCATAAGATGTCATCTGCAATAAATATATACACATATGTATTATAAATTCCACAAATACATAGGTGTAATAAAGGCTCAGCTAACCACATTTGGAGCTTATTATGGCATGGGCATTCACACTTCTCAGTGCCAGTAGCAGAATTACAGTGATGACTTCCCCCTATAAAGATATGAAAATAAGATATAAAACAAAAGCCCCAAACCAAAGTATTCATTCAGCGTGTGAATGGAATTTGAGGCCATTTCTAAGAGTCTGACTTTAGATGAGTCATTTTTAATCTAAAATATTGCTAACCCACTAACTCAATGTAAAAAAAACAAAAGAACTAGAGTATCAATAATGGGGCTATGGAAGGGAATTGTTAATATGTGTGTATTCATTTATTCATTCTTTGTATTGAAGCACTGCCTTTAAAAGGCCTTACAGGAAAGGTGGATACATAGACAATAAACACTCATGCTCTTTTCACCCAGATTCACCAACAGTCACCATTGCACAACACTTGCTTTCTACTACATAAATTCTATTTGCTGTTA